TTGTAAGCCAGTCACTTCTTGCCTTTATAGCCCTCCCTGCCCCCCATTTTGGGTAGCCAATGTCTAAGTAGCCCATCCCTGTCAACCATGTGTACCGAAGGGGTGGGAGTGATCCTTGCTGTAAAGATTTGTTCCCTTTTTTGAGATACTACATCCATATGAATAGGTAAAGTTCATCAAATTGTAGTGGGTTACTTGTTTTTATTTTTCTTCTTTCTTCCCTCTTCTTTCTTCTTCTAGTCGAGTTCTGATCATCCAGCCATTGAAGCCAGGTCAAGTGGGTACTATCTGCAAGTATGGGTGTTCTTGTGCATCTCCCCTCACTTCATATCAGCTGGACACTTCATTCTCCGCTCTAGTCCTCTGTGGCCATGTTACTGCCTTAGGGCATCTTGCTGTAACTGCTGGCCATCCAGGTCTCCTCCTGGGTTCACAGGAGTCTGTTGAATGTGGTTGGACTTAGATCCCAACTTCATTGCTGTTTTTTCCCTCTCTTCCCCTTATGTTGGTCACCATCCAAGCCACATGCCTGCTTGTGTATTCCCCTGGAGTCTTGGAAGGGAGTTTGCTCTGAAGGGACCCAACCACTTGCCTTGATGGCTCCCAGTGTATGGTAGAGTTTTGAAGTCAAATATATGTGTGTGGCACTGTAGGATCAGCACTGGACTGCTAACCACAAACGTGACTGTTCAAACCCACCAACTGCTCCTCAGAAACCCTATACAGAGTTACTATGAGTCGTAACTGACTCGACAGCACTTAACAAAATAAATATATGTTGTGTGCCCTAAAAATATGTGTGGTAAATCCTAACCCTTATTATAGAGTCGTGTATGGTGCTGTAGGATAAGCACTGAACTGCTAACCATAGATCAGTGGTTGAAATCCACCAGCTGATCTTCTGAGTGGTAACTGGAAGGCATTTAATAACAACGTAGTGGTTATGATCTTGTTTGGGAATGGGTTTTCTTTATGTTGATGTTAACAGTATTGGTGTAGTGTGAATTTCATGTGAATGGCTGTCATCTTTATAGAAGCAAATTGCCACCTCTTTCTCCTGCAGAGTGGCTGCTGGGTTCCAGCCATCAAGCTTTCATTCAGCAGCTGGCTGCTTTAACCATTGCATCACCAGGTCTCAGAGACAAATCCACGGAGGGTCACTTGCTGGAGGAGGACACCCTGGTTGATGAAGCAGAGGGCCACCGCGGGCCAGGGAAAGCCTCAGTGAGGTGAAATGGCTCTCTCGATAATGGACTGAACATGCCTGGACTGTAGGACCGGCTCCATTTCAGTTCTTTTCTACGTGAGGTCACCACGTAACAATAGCAACAATAAGACGACTGAAAAGAGACCGTCAGCACATGTAGCATCTGGCGAGAGAGTTTTCCTGACAACAACAACAAAACAGTCAAGCAGATCCTGGCAGCTGGAGCTTACTAGTCACCTTCAAGGAGCACACAGTGACCTGGGAGGGGGAGCTGACGGAAGGCAGAGTGGAGGTGGCTGGGGCCCACCCATGGGAGACGCTGATAAAGACTGCATATTGTCCTCAGAGTGTGGGGAGTCCTGGGTGTCAGGATCTAACTATTTTCTGAGGTCCGCTCTGTGCAGTTAGTTGTCAGAACAGGGTAGAAAGAGGTGTGGGGCGGCCACAACAAAGCAGAACCAAAGCCACCATACTGCCATGAAGCGACTTCCTACGTTGAGTCCTGGAGGCCAATGCGCTGAACTGCAAGGTCGATTTGAACCACAAGGTTGGTGGTTCAAACTCACCAGGCACTCTGCAGAAACTCTATAGAGGGTCACTATGAGTCGGAACCAGTTCGATGGCATGTAACCACACCAATATAGAGTTTACAAGAGCGCCTCATCTTTCTCCCTCCATCTTAACAAAGCACTCCAAAATTTAAAACAGCAGAAATTTCGTGTCCCATTCTGGAGGCCGGAAGTCCAGCTCCAGGGCGTGTGCGGGGCCTGTGCTGTCTCCTAAGGCTCATTGGGAGGAGCCTGCCATGTGTGTCCCAGATCTGGTGGCCCAAGCATTCCTTGGTTTGCAGCTACAGCATCACCCTGTTGTCATATGGCTGTCTTCCCTCCGGGTGTTCATCTTTGTTGTTGTTGTTGTTGTTAAGTGCCGTTGAGTCGATTCCAACCCATAGCGACCCTGTATACGTTTTCCAAGGATCAGCTGATGAGCTTGAACCGCTGATCTTGCAGTTCAAACAGCTTTGCAGTCTGGCACATTAACCCACAGTACCACACCAGGACTCCGTGTTCATCTGTATGCAATAGGAAATGGAGGCATCTCCCAATCATGATCCTTTTGCTTGTTGAAAAGAGAATCAGGGTCTTACAATGAGCCACTGGATGTGGCTGGGGTTCTGGGCCCCCTCCATCCTGGCTCCCATAACTGCCCAGTGCTAGGGGGCTCCCATCTTGCCTCGGCCTCTTTTGGCAGGAACCTGTGTGTGTGCTCATGTGAAAGTCATCACACCTCTTTGTCTCCGAGTGAAGCCAGGAGGCAGGGGCTTGAACCAGGAGAAGAATTTTCCAGAGCAAACATTTGCATCTGTTTTAAACTTGTCTCCTTGGGAACATCCGCATCTGCAGAGCACATCATCTAGGACAAAATGCCTTTCATTACAGTAACAGGCAGGGCCTGACTTCCAGCCAGGGCCCAATCAGAAAAACCAGTGCACAAGGCAAGAGACAGGTTTTGGGGGCAAGCAGGATGGACCACTCCAGAATGCAAACTCCCGCCGCCTGTAGCCGGGGACTTCGTAGGCCTGTGTCTCTCAGGATGGGCTGCCCTGGGAGTAGAACCCTGTGTTTCCTCCTCATGTTGGCTCCTGCATATTTCCATTCGACTTCATCCCAGGAAGCCAGTCTACTAGGGCAGAGAAGACCCTTCTTCGAGAGGCTCCGGAGACTAGAAGAGCAGGTATGTGTTCCCACCAAGTGGGGTGGCTGGGTTTTTTCATTGGAAGCTGACTAAAGACAGATGTCAAAGGAACAGCATCAGAATCCTGGGTACTTACTCCGTGGGCACCAAGGTTGGGTTTGTCCATCTCATCATCTGGCATTCTTTACACCTATCGTTGGGCACCGACACAGCATGGCTGAGCTCTGCTCTAGAGACATGGCTGCGGAGGGAGGCGTGCAGTGGCAGGATGGGAATTTGGAAGCTGGTGAGAAGAGCAGCTAATGATGGTCCCTGGTGGTGAAGACAGGGCAGACGGAGCTGGCTAGGATCCCTGGGTCCAGAGTGGGAGGCAGAGGAGGTGGACAGCCTTGACAAAGGTGGACACCCGTACCAGACCACTTCCTGGTGGTAGCACCAGCTGCTACCTCTTTAATACCTAGAAGCCCTGCTCCTGTCTTGTCAACTTACAGTCGGACCCCAAGGTCACAGAGGGGAAGGGGCACCTCATGGCTGCCCAGCAAATGGGATGTGGGCAGGGCTCAGAGCCCTGTTGCCACCTGGACTCCACACCCCGCACAGCTGTGCACCTGTGGGCTGCTTACCTGCCTTTCTGTGCTCCTCCCCCTCCGATAGGACCCTGCCCTCGAGACCCCAACTCCTGGCGGCCCACATGTGTCTGAGCAGAATTGTGCCCCGTAGGGTCCTCAGTGGCTAATTTTTTTGGAAGTAGATCACCAGCTCTTTCTTCCTCTGGTAGACCCAACCTACCTGTTAACAGTTGGGTATATTTGCACCTCCCAGTGAGTCCCTGTCCTTAATTTGTATTTGTGAGTGGCTTCCCGGCCCTGTGTTGGTATAAAGTGAGGTTCCCCTGTATCCCTGGGCAGACTCTGATGAGCCCCCTAGGGATGACCACAGTTATAGGCACATACCTCCAGGGCTGCAGTGAGGAGGAAGTCAGCCCACACAGGCCACGCGGGTGCGGTGTCACAGGAACAAGGACCATGATTTTGTCCCCACCCACCCCACCCCATGTCACAGCCATGTGTCCCTTCTACAGTTCCAGAGGTTCCAGGAGGTGACTCTAACCCACCTGCAGGGCATCGCGAGCAACTACAACGTGTCCTACAACATCGATGCCCGCTTCCGGAGCCTGGCACTTGAGAACCAGGCTGTGGCCCAGGCACTGAACCAGTCTCAGGCCACAGTGCAGGCCGACCTGAGCCACCTGAAAACCTCGGTGAGGAAGGCTCAGCGGAGGAGCCGCAAAGTGGACGCGAAACTGCTGGTCTTGGACCAGGTCCTGAGCGAGGGGAACCGGCAACATGCCGTGGAACACAAGGAGCAGAAAGTGCAGAGTGACGCCGCTTCCAGCCTGGCCCAGAACCTGGCCCTGGACGTGCGGATCCTGCAGGACATGCTGGCCAACCTGACAGAGCTTGTGCACAGCCAGGGTGTCAGGCTGGCTGCTCTTGAGGGGCATCTGCAGGCGGCCAGGTCTGACCCTGCAGCCCCCAGCCCAACTCCACCTCAGTGGCTGAGTCCGAGCTCCCTACAGCTGCAGAGACTCAGGCAGGCACCCCAAGCTTTGCTGGAGCACAGAAGCCCACCCCGGGATGTCATTAGCCATCTCCGGGCGACACAGGGGCCTGCTGGAACAGCCCCTGGGGACACTCCTCTGCTGACACGGTCCCCCCAGAGACCAGGAGAGAGTAAGTACCCAGAGGCACTCTCCCAGCCTCCCTTTACTTCTGAGATACCTCTGTACTCATCAGGGGAGGCAGGAGGGGCAGCATCAGGTGATGACAGACACAGAGGTCCCAGGGAGGCATGGGTCCCCAGCCAGAGAAGCTGCTGGAAGCTGGAAATGACCAGGTAGCAGCTTCTCCCCCAGAGCCTCGGGGAGGGACTGAACTAACGTTGCCCAGATCTCGTTCTCACAGCCTGACCTCCAAAGCTGCCAGAGATCCGTGTGTATTGTTTGAAGCTGTCATAGAGTCTTGGTGGCAATGTAGGATAAGCACTGGACTGCTAACCCTAAGGACAGCAGTTCAAACCTACCAGGTGCTTTTTGGGAAAAGATGAAACCTTCTGTTGCCATAAAGATTGACGGCCTCGGAAACCTTCCTCAGAGTGGCTGTGAGTCACAATCAGCTCAATGGCAGTGGCTTTGGTTTGGTGTTTAGAGAAAAGGAACCAACAGGACATGTATATGGACATATAGAAAGACAGATTGGCCCCAAAGGATTGGCTCATGTGATTGTTTATTGTTGTTGTTAAGTGTTGTCGTCCCTGTACAGAGTTTCCAAGGAGCAGTGGGTGGGTTTGAACCGGCAATCTTGTGGTTTGCTGTCCAGTGCTGATCTTACAGCGCCACACCAGGAGTCCGTACGTGGTTGTGGTTGTGTGACACTGAGTCATTTTCAACTCATAGCAAGCCTGCAGGGTTTCCAAGGCTGTACGTCTTTATGGGAGCAGAAAGTCTCCTCTTTCTCCTGCAGAGTGACTGATGGGTTCGAACTGCTGACCTTGCAGTTAGCAGCCCAGCTCATAATCCACTACGCTACCAGAGCTCCCTTATGCAATCACTGCTGGTTGGTTGGTTATGTGTACGGGAGTGGGAAACCTCATCTTTCTCCCATGGAACAGCTGGTAGTTTCGAACCGCTGACCTTGCAGTTCGCAGCCTGATTTGTAACCAGTATGCTAAGCTGTGGGTCAGGCATCAGGCTGGAGACTTCAGCAGCTCTGTGTCCCATGATCCTGAGCTCAGGAGAGAGCAGAGAGAGAGGGCGAGTCGTGCCAGAATGCCAGGATTTGATGCATTTTACACACATCGAAGGTTTGCGACAACCCTCCATCTAGCAAGTCTATTAGCGTCATTTTCACTGCAGCATGTGCTCACCATGTCCATGTTCATTCTCTCAGTATTTCAAACTTTTCAGAATGCAATAGCTCTGGTAGCGTAGTGGTTATGAGTCAGGCTGCTAACCGCAAGGTCAGCAGTTCGAAACTACCAGCGGTTCCGTGGGAGAAAGATGAGGCTTTCTGCTCCCGTAAAGATGTACAGCCTCGGAAACCCTGAACAGGGTTTCTATGGGTCGGAACCAACTCCACGGCACATAACCACCACCATCACTTTATTCTGACTCATAGTGACCGTGTATTGAGTTTCTGAGGAGCAGCTGGTGGGTTTGAACTGCCAATCTTGCAATCAGCAGTCCCATGCTTATCCTACTGCAGATCTCCCAGCATAAACATCAATTTCTAAGTACTGGAAAGCCCAAACGTGTGTGAGTCCCTTCCTTTATTACGGTGATCTGAAACTGAGCCTGTCTTCAGAGTACCTCTGAAGTCTGTCTGCATAGTCTGAGGGCAGAACACATAGAAACGTCCCTTTCATGAAATGGATCCATTACATCACATACAGAACAGCGGACAGTCTAGTGTTTGACAACACCACTAGGAACCGTAGCCAAGCAGACATGTGAAAATAACACTACAAAAAAATAAACCAAATTCACTACCAGTTAGTGATTGGTGCAGACTCACAGCCACCCTGTGGGGCAGAGTTAAGCACTGGTCTGCTAACCCTAAGGTCAGTGGCCTCTGCAGTCTCTCAGAGCCGATGGTGAGTTAGAACCCTCCATCTTTGGGTTAGCAGAACGCTGACCCGGGGCGCCCCCTGGTGGTCATGGAGAGCATGGTTGTGGGCCGTTCAGGCTCAACTCAACGGACTCTGCCTCCCTCTGGCGGCCTCTCTGCAAAGTGAGGGTGATGGACTCGGTTCTGAGCGCTAGGCCCAGCCTGGTGGAGTGAAGGGTACGGAAAGCCGGAGTGCCTGTGTGCCGGGCTGACTCTCCTTCCCTCTGGTTCTAGTTTGCAACGTGGGGCCCGCGCTCGTGTTCCCCAACGCCTCCACCGAGAACGCGGTCTTCCTTCGCCGCGGCTTCCTCTCTGGTCTGCGGGCTCTGTCCGTGTGCAGCTGGGTCCGTACGTCCCCGGGCCGCCTGGGTACCCTCCTCTCCTATGCCACCGAGGACAATGACAACAAAGTGGTGCTGCATGGCCGGGACTCGCTGGCCCCCGGCTCTGTCCACTTTGTGATCGGAGACCCGGCCTTTCGTGAACTACCGCTGCAGCCACTATTGGACGGCCGGTGGCACCACGTATGTGTGATCTGGACGTCCTTCCAGGGACGGCACTGGCTCTACGTGGACCGCAGGCTGGTGGCCACCGGGTCGCGATTCAGGGAGGACTATGAGATCCCTCCCGGAGGGTCCCTGGTGCTAGGCCAGGAGCAAGACACGGTGGGTGGAGGGTTTGATAGTGCAGAGGCCTTCGTGGGGAGTGTGGCCGGCCTGGCCATCTGGGGTAGGCCACTGACCCCCAGGGAAGTTTCAAGCCTCGCCACCGGGAAATCGGTCCCAACAGGCGCCCTTCTGACGCTGGCCAATGCCACATCTGTAGGTGGGTTCGTTCAGCTGGTGACTTGCTCCTGCCTCGAGCACTGTCCCTGAGGCCACATTGACCAGGTAGGAGATGCTAGTCTTTGCTGCTGACCCAGACACTTCCTGCAAAGGTCATCCATACAAGCCTACTCTGCCGTGTAGGGTGGGGAATTTCTCACGGAAGAGGAAACAGCGCAGGGGAGGACTCAGAGGCCTGGTAGGTCAAGCCTGGGACCTGCAGGGACCCCATATTCTTAATGCTGCCCTGTTTCTGTGTGGCACACTCAAAGCCTTGTCTGCCTTGTTCTTCCCATCTGATCATATCCCAACAGGGCCTGGCTGGCCAAACAACAGCCCTGGACTCCATCTGGGAAGGGGCCTGCAGCAATTGAAGGCCAGTTCTGGAGAATTCCAGAAGTTTCCCTGGAAACTGCATGGACACCACCAAAGCTGTCCCAGGCCTCTCTCAAGAATGACTAAGAAAACGTCTATTTGGCTGACCTTCACCCCAACACCTCATGCAAAAAGTGCCCCTACCCCCACACCTCCAACCCCTGGACTGGGATCCTGGAGGTTCCCTTGAGGTCAGCCACCCAGTTTGTCCTGTGGTCCTCAGCTGGCCACCCCAGAATGAAGGGAAACCCCACTTCAGATCAATGGGGCCCAGGGGGAGGGGCTGCTGAACCAATCAAAGATGTAACCTGTTTACAAATTATAATTAGCAGCAAATAGCAACATTCCTAAAACAACTTGAATATAATTTACAAACCTTAAAATTCACCAATTGTAAAAATCCAAAGATTTTTTAGTAAATGTGTGGAGTTGAACAATCGTTTCCACAATATCATTTTAGAACATGTGTACACAAATAACAGTGCCCCCTAGCGGTCACCAGGAGACCTGCTGGTGGTGTGGTGCTGTAAGACAGCTAGACACAAGTCACAAGCATGTTGGTCCTTGGAAACCCTACACAGGGTGGCTGTGAGTCAAAGGCACGTAACAACAATATCAGTCACTGTCTGTCCCCACCCTAGCTTTCCCCCAGCTCCTGGCAACCACTCACCTAGTGTCTGTCTGTAGATCTGTCTACTCGGGATTTGCCACATAAACAGAATCTTCAAACGCATAGTCTTTTCCAACTAGCTTGTTTCACTTGGTACAACATTCTCAAGGTTGCTCATGGTATAGTATCTATCCGTACTTGGTTGTTTTTATACTGCATTGTGTAGACCGCATTTTCCTCCTGTCTTGTCCAGGTGATGGGCCTGGATGTTTGTTTCCACTTTTTGGCTATTCTGAATAAAGCTTCAGTGAAGTGTCCTCGAACGCATCTCTGTGTGGACCTGTACTTTCGCTACTCTTGGGTAGACACCTAGGAGGGGAATTGCTAGCCCATGCGGTGAATTCATGTCTAAACTTTTAAAGAAACTGCCAAAAAGTTTTCCAAAGAGACCACGCCATGTTGCAAACACTGCGTTTCTCTGCATCATCATCAAAATGTGTTATTGTTTGTCTTTTTGGCAGGATTTTTTCCAGAATTCTAAATCATTGTTAGGTGCAATTGAGTCGGCGCTGACTCAGCGCAACAGGACGGAAACACCACCTGGTCCTGTACCAGCCTCACAGTTACCAGTTCTGACTCAGAGTGA